GTTTTTGTTTTTGTTTTTTTGTTTTTGACAAAAAGCCTCTGAAAAGAAATTCGGCAGCAGTTCAATGTCACGTTCTGATCACGCCATATGTGTGTTTCAAGGCTACTTGTCAATCATATATACAACGGAAGTAATCGTGGTGGTATGTCTAGATACCAGTCTCTGCTCGCGAAAAAATCAGCGAACCATCTCCGCCCGCGTCTTAGTCAGACCCTTTTTGAATGCTCGTCAAAACGATTCTAAGGGGAATGCTCCCATGTTGTTGTTGTTGTGTGTTTTTTCCCCATAAAAATCATGATCACGAATTAACTTTACATGAGGACAAAACAAAAACTATTCCAGTTTAAACCATAGAATCTCCAAAAAATAGAGCTAAGAAATATTTTTAAAAGCTAGGGGAATAAAATATGCTTTAAATTTTGAATTGCTTAACCCAACAATAACCCACACAAAAATGTGTTTTAATTAAAGCGATTTATTCGAAAGCGAAAGTTTTCTATCATAAAATAACTCGAAGCCAAACCGTGAGATCAGGGAAATTCCCTTCGGATAATTTATTCATAAATATCACAATGACGTCATGTCTTAAGTGAATTCTCGGAAAAGCTTCCAAATTTCATGGAAAAAAACTTCATGTTTACTTCAAAAAATTAACCCAAATATCGTCCTATAGAAGCTCTCTTATTCAATTTTCGTCCGACATTAGAATAATCTATAGTTTTACGCAATGATATGGGATTTCGGTGCCGTCGAAAGAGAAAGTGAAAGTACTTGGTTTCGGGGAAATTACCTAAAAATACAACGACGAGTTTGGGAAAACCCCGAAAGTCAAGTTGTGGTATAAAAACCTGATATTTTGAAAGCAGTAGTTACTGCAAAAGAAAGCAAAAGAAGAAGTCACAGCTTTCATAGGCGTCCAAGTAAGTTGGTATTAAAGTATTGACATTAATGGTAATGATACACGCTAGACTGTGCTAGCTTTGTGGATAATTTATTCGGTAGACAGAACTTATTTGACTACAAAAGTCTAGATAATCCGCTAAAGCATATGACTGACTTTAGCTCGTAAAAACAAGATTTTAGTCATCTTTACCGGTAGAGAGCAGGTAGTAGCAAAGTTTTTTTTCTAAATACACTGAAAACAAACTGTGGTAAAATTCTAGAACATTTTAGCTTGCATTGATTTGCTTCGTGCTGAAATTTTACACCATCAAAATTATTCTTCGAGACGTTTAAAAACATATTCCTACATAGTTAGACTATGAATACCGAACTGTAGTCTAATGAAAAATAAATAATAGTTACTATGATAGAGTGAAGTCACTAAACCCGTGAAATAAATATTAGAACAATACACATTAGAAGACCCTAATTCAATTGTCTTCTTTTGTGTCTATTTGACTTTTACACGTTGACTAATAATTTTTATTTCACGGGTTAAATACCCTCGCTCTAGACAAAGTTTATTTTTTAAATGATATTTTGAACTTCCAAGCTCGTCACGCAAAATTCCAGGTTATATTTTTCTTCTGGTTTTATCACAGGCAACCCAAGCTCACTACATTTATGAGAGAATGTATAGGGATTTAGAATATGCCGTATTTTATTTGGAAAAACGTGAAAAATAAATAAATCACTTTTATTTAAGTGTCTAGTCGTTCTAGCGCTTACGCACTAATTGGGGACACTTTTCGCTCACACGCACTACCACAACATTCAATATTCTATGCACACAACGCTCAACTCATATGTTGATTTTTATGGCGGGAGGAAACCGGAGAACCCGAAGAAAACCCTCGTAGCATAGAGCAACACGTCAAACAAACTTAATTCACATGTGGCGACCTCAGGGCTCGAACCAGCGACCCCACCCGTTGGACTCACAGTCCGCGAATGCCACCCATGCATGTGAATAAGAGTTTCTCGACTTATCTGTTGTGTCATTTTGTTTATTTTGAACTCCTATATGAAGTTTCAGCGAGTTTTGAAGGGTATTTAAGAAAAAAATTCCAACGACAGTCATTGTTATATTAGAATATCCATTGAATCTAAGAATATTTTAAATTTGTATCCACAGATCTCTAAAGATCGAATTCACGATGAACTCGAAGCAAAGACAACTGTTAAAAGAGCGACATCAGCATTTCAAGGACGAAGTTAATCCTGCAGACCTCCTCCCGCACTTGACATGCCTAATACAAGAGGATGTAGAAATAATCGAGAGCACGTTGAACAACTACGGTCCTATACGAGCTCTTGGAGAACTTTTGGACAAATTGAAACGCAGGAAAAATGGATTTGAGCAATTTGTCGTTGCACTGCGAAAAAATGATCTCCATCATGTGGCTTTGCTACTTGACCCCTTGGCAAAAAGTATGAAATAAAACAAATATTATTTACCTTGAATACAATTAATAAATAAATAAATGAATAAATAAAGAAGTCGATTTTCCCCCGATTCTATTTTCACCTTTCACTTTTTATCTAAATTGGGCTCCCTGTGGTTTAGATTTTCAAAATTTTCACTTTATGGATTCGTTTTTTGTATTCCAATTCAGTCAAAGAAGAGTATGACGCTACTGAAAACGACACCAGCAAGTTCCAGGTGCTTGGTACAGCTGTTGGTAAGTGTTAGTAGTTAGTTCTATGAAGATTTTGTATTATATGGTCACTTGTCGGCGACCATGTTTTATTGCAGAAGAATAGAATCCCTTTACTCTAGGGAATTTAATTCTTTCTCATGTAAAACGGACTATAAAATGCTTGTATTGTTCCTGCCATCCAACATGGCTGCCATCATAACTCACAGATCGAATTAGAACAGACCAATTCCACTTGGACGTCATGTTTTCACATTTCAGACCACGTGTCATTCCCTTGAGTATCCTTTCTTTGTTTAACGGTTACGCATGACAAGATACATGGACTCTAGGGAATGACACGGGGCCTTAAATGGGAAACATTACTAGACTCATTTGTTGTTCCGGTTTTATCGAGAACTGAGCCGAAAAGGTGAAATCCCGTAGAAAATCCATCAAACCAAGACAGACCCAACGAATATATATTTTTTAACTTTGCCTCCAGTTCAAAATACGAAGGGGAAAAAGTAATACAAACATAGATACATGTTCTAAGGCAGGGAAACTGCAACAACTAATGCCAATTACTGCGGACCCTTATCAAAATAATAAAGTCAGTGTCTTGGCAATACATTTAGGAGCAGCACGTAAAACGACTTAATTAGAAGACAACGAGCAGAATTACAATTGAAGCAAATTGATTTCCATGAGCGAAGATCCGTCTTGCTTTTATAAGACTATTAGTTCCCCATATTAGGAATTGCGAAAATTGAAGTTTCTCCCCACCCCGGGGTCATCGAAAATTTCAATTTTGGGCTGACTTTGGGCCAAAAACGTTTGGAACTGATAGCAGTACTAATATTCCATTTGGTGTTTGAATTCTTTTTTCAGATGTGAAGATCATTGCGCGTATTTATGACACCAGCCTGGGCGATGAACGGAGAACTGAGTACGAGAAAACCGTGGTGAACGAATTTAAGACATCCCACAGTGAAAACTCCAAGAAAATAAGAAAAGTTTTCCGAGAGGTATTAAATTACGTTCATTTATAATTACAGAGCAAGTTGGAATGAAGCGCTTCTCTTGCGCATTATTTTTTTGTTTTATCGTAGTGGACCAATCAGTGTTGAAGCTCCAAGGCATAAGGGGAGAATGAAAAAGTGGAAGAACTCAGTCACTTTGTGGAACACCTGTCAATTCAATTCCTATTTATTTATTTGTTTATTTTCATTTACTGATTGGGAGTACACTGAGAAATCTGGGAACGATCTAGTCGATCGAGGAGCGCAAAACTTTTGCGCATCACTTATTACTGTTAATCCCTAGAGGATGGAGGAGGGGGCGAGCAACTCTAAATAATTGCACATTAGAGGCTGCTGCGGATTCTCGCCATTTTGGTCGACTCTGACTAAGATTTGGTCTTGGTGTCTTTTGTCTGTCGAGCACATGTCACATGGGATGTGCGCCTCAAATAGGCAGTTAACCTATAGAGGGATCTATAGTGGTAGAGACTCTATAGGAACAAGAGGAGTCAAGTGAGATGTTTGCGCGTCCGTCACCAATCAGTGTTAACGGGGAACGACTGCTAGAAACAAGACAAAGAAGGCAAAACGTTCGCGCTTGTTTGCGCGTGTTTGCAAAACAAATTGACTGAGGCTTGTCTTGAATTGAGATTCCAAACCTAACCAAGAGAATATCATCATTACTTCATATTCTCTTGACCTAACTTAAATTAACCTTTGGATTCCCTTTTAGGAGATGCCACCAGGAGTAGAGTTTGTCAAGACGAAAGAAATGGGACACGCTTTGAATCTGTTTTCAGATAAGAATCAAAAGCAGAAGGCAGATGCAAGCAACAAAGCTGGTGAAGACAAACAAGTTAACGATGAAAAAGAAAGTGAAAAGCTTGAAAACGATGCTGCTGAGGTCGAGCAAGAAATAACCGAAGATAAAAAAGAACTTGGCGAGGACGAAGAGGGCGAAAAGGATGCGAGTGAGGCAGAGGAAACGAAAAAGGAAGAGAAAAGTACTGAAGATGGTGACAAACAAACTGACACCGACGACGAAACATCGTGTGAATCAAGCTCTCCCGGAAGCTGCGAAGAAAACTCAGACACTGAAACAAACTTTGGAGGAGACTCTATTTCTGCCATCTTTCGCTTGACGAACGTCGATCACGCAAAGAAATTCTGGGACATGTTTAAAAGCAATAAACTGGAGAAAACACTGCACAAGAACTTAGTATTGAACACTTTAATTGAGAAGAACATTGTTGAAGAACAAAACAGCGACTCCTTGAAACTCAAACTGTCGTTCCTGGAGGATGATTACCAAGAGATCATCGATTTTCTTGAAAGTAGGTTTTTTTTTGTAGGAGGTGTGCCAAGCTGGGCAGCGTTTTTCGAAACTCGTTGGATCCGGATTATGAAATGTGGAATCCGGAAGCCTAGATGCGAAATCTGTGATCTTTAGATACAAAATTCAAAAATTTAGTAAAAAAAAAGTCAAAAAAAGTCTTGATTATGACTGGGAAGAAGTGTTTTTCATGTGATTTTTTTGTTTTTGTTTTAAGACGTCGAATCTGAGCAAAGTTTGGAAACAACGGGAAATAGTTTGCTATCAAGCAGAACAGGTAATGGAAGATTGTCTTGTTACGGGTTGTTAATATTCATGCGCCAAAAAAGATTTTTTGACTGACATTTTTAATTTTTTGGTTAGCTGATAATGTTCACCACTCAGAACTTGACGAAGAAGTTGTTATTAGAATCCCTCAAGGTAAGTTTCATCGCATGAATATCATTCTTTCTCCTCTTTTCTCAAAGGCATTTTCATTTGCTTTCATTTTTGAAATTTTCATTTTGTTCAATTTTTTATTTCCTTTATTCCAGTTTGCTTGGAGAGCCAAAGAGAGAACCTCTACAAGAGAGACCTCAAGCTTCGTAACTACCAAATAGAGTTAGCAGGCCCAGCCCTCGAGGGCAAGAACTGCATTATCTGTGCACCCACGAACAGTGGCAAGACATTCGTTGCTATGGAGATAACGAAACGGCATCTTCAAAAATATAAAAATAGCAAAGTGCAGCCAGGTAATGATTTTATACACGTGACACATTACGTTGAGCTTTAGCCTGTCCTGTTTAGCGGCCTGCGAGACAAAACAGATGAAGAGCAGCAGCAGTAAGGCGGACTCGCGAAGCGCCGGCATTGCCAAAAATCACAAATCGAAAAACACCAGGGGGGGGTGGGGTTTTTGGAGCAGTGACGAGGCCCTACAGGGGGTCTTGCGCGATCGGGTGGCAGCGCGAAAAGTCCCTTACTGCTGCTCTGTTGGGTACCGCAAACGGAGGATAAAATATTCCTTAGATATAGATGGACGCCATCAAAAGCATTCGTAACAAAACTGTGCGCAAGCTAAGAACTCAGGTG